GTACTGGGGATTGAACTTGGGTCCATGCACTTGTGAAGCAGGCAGCAGAACCACTGAGCTAAATCCCCAGCCTGATATTTTATTTTTAAAAATCCTGCGTGGCAAACTATATTTTCCTGTGCCAGATATAGAAAATGGCCAGCAGGAATTTTTGTGTCACTAGTTACCAGATAATGTAGCTTGCCCATTTAAAAAAAATAATTCAGGAAGTCCACAATTTCCCTATCAAATTATGAAACTTTGTGTCATTTCTTTATTGCAAGAAATAAGAACATAGACAGTGGGATTACTAGCAAAACCTGAATTTTAAACCATTACACTGCACTGCCCCTCTGTGGACAGCCACCTTATAACCAGGGACAGGCAAACGATTCCTAGCTGTATAGTTGGGCTTCCTCAAACCATTGTCTGCCGATGTATATTCTTGGAATTTCAAGTGCTTAAATTTGAAAAACGCCTTGGTAGGAAATTAAAGAAGGCTCATCCACACAAAAAAGCATATCATTGGGTGGATCTTCCCTTAAACATATTTGATTCATTCTGAAAACCTGTATTAATTCCCAGCTATGCCAGGCACTGTGTTGGGTGATAGGAAATAAATAACAAACAAGATACCAAGCTTAGTATGGTGTGTAGATAACTTCATAGCCGATTATATGGTGGCATAGGAAAGTAAGTACTGGGGTTAGGGCTTGTGGTAGGGTTAGGGTTAGGGTTGGGGTCAGTGATAGTCTTAGAATTTCAGTACCTGCGTATTGGAATGTGTGTTTCATAGTTAGTATCAGCATTAGATTTGGCCTTAGGCTTAGGAGGAGTGCAGGATTCAAGTACCACGGAATTGCAACTTGAGAATAATGTTCACCTGCCCTAACATTCTCATTCACATTGCAATTACCAGGTAGTTGAATTCCATCCATATTCCAAATGCCAAACCTAATCCTGATCCTAACCCTATCCCAAACCCTAAAGCCAAACCCTAACCCTGAACCTAAATGCTATAACCATAAGCCTAAACCCAACTGCTAAGGTACAACTTTAGACCTAACCCCAAGACCTAAGCCAAACTCTAACCCTAACACTAATGCTAAAGCCTTAAACCTATCCCTAACCCAAGCAAACCCCAAACCCAATCCCAACACTAACTCTAACCCTAACCCAGTTACCTGCATTCCTACAACATTCCTAAACCTAATCCTAAAATTAACACTAAGACCAACCATCAAATCAACACTCAAGTGCACAGGTAGTGAAATTCCGACAGATTTCCTAACCCTAAGCATAAACCAAGCCCTAGCATTAACCCTAACAGTAGCCATCATAGCTACACTGTAATGCTTAGGTACTTGGAATCCAACACTATAACTCAACCTCATAAAAATCCTTGCCCTCAGCATCGTACTCACACTCCAATTATAAGATATTTCAATTCCATCCATATCCCTATCCCCAAACCTAAATCTAACCATAAACCAAATCATTAATCCCACAGTCCAATACTGAGGTGTTTGAAATACTACACTCTTCTTAACACGAATGCCAAATCTAATCGTAATACTAACAATGAAACCCACGCAGCAATATACAGCTAGTAAAATTCCAAGATTATGACTTACACCAACCTGATCCCTAACCCTCAACCTACCCCTAACCCTAACTTCAGTACCTGCAATCCCACACCACTGCTAAACATAATCCTACAATTATGCTGACACTTACCATGAAACCCACACTGTAGTACACTGGTATTCCAACATGATTCCTAACCCTAGGCCTAAGCAAAACCCTGAAATGAACCCTAAAGCGAACACTACCCAACAGAGCTGCACTGCAATGCTCGAGTACTTGGAATCCCACACTATGCCTAACCTTTAGAGAAATCCTTGCCCTAACCTTCATTCTCACACTCAAATTAGCAGGTGCTTGAATTCCATCCATATCCTTGTCACAATCCTAACCCTAAATCCAACAGTAAACATTATGATCAAGTTCCGATACAGTGGTACTTGAAATCCTACACTATTTCTAACCCTAAGGCCAAATCTAATGCTGATGCCAATTATGAAACTCACACTCCAATACGCAGGTACTGAAATTCCAAGCCTATCAATGACCCCCATAGCTACCCCTAACGCTAACCCTACCATGACACCTAAACCAGGTACTTGCATTCCTAAACCATGCTTAACCCTAATCCTAAAATTAACACAAATAATAACCATGAAACCCCTACTCCCTTACATAGGTAGTGAAATTCGGACTCTATTCCCAACACTTGACGTAATCCTAACACTAACCTCAACCCAGGCACTATGCATCATAGCTACACTAATCATGAAACCCACACTTGAGTACACTAGTAGTGAAATTTCGACATTATTCCTAACCCAAGCCTAAACCTATACATAAAAATAACCCTAAAGTGAACACTACCCATCAGAGCTGCACTGCATTGCATACGTATTTGGAATCCCACACTATATTTTACCCTCATAAAAATCCTTGCCCTAACCTGCATTGTCATGCTCAAATTATCAGGTATTTGAATTCTATCCATATATCTGTCACAAAACCTGACACTCAACCTAACACTAAAAATTATTCCCAAGTTGCAATAAAGCGGTACTTGAAAATCTACAGTATTCCCAACCCAAGGGCAAAATCTAATGCTGATACTAACTATGAAACCTACACTCCAATATGCAGGTATTGAAATTCCAAGTCTAGCATGGAACACAAACCTAACCCTAACCCTAACCCTATCACAAGCTCTAACCCAGATACTTACATTCCTAAACCATGCTTAACTTTAATCATAAAATTAAAACTAATACTAACCATGAAGCCCTTACACCCTTACATAGGTAGTGAAATTCTGACTCTATTCCCAACACTTAACGTAATCCTAACCCTATCCTCAACCCAAATACTACACATCATAGCTACACTGCCATGCTCAGGTACTTGGAATACCACACTATACCTAACCATCAAAAACAAAAAACAAAAAACAAAACAAAAGCCTTGTCTTAACCTTCATTGTCACAGTCAAATTATCATGTACTTAAATTTCATCCATATCCCTGTCATAAAATGCAACCCTAACCCTAAACATTATTCTCAAGTTCCAATATAGAGGTATTTGAAATCTTACAATGTTCCTAACCCAAAGGCAAAATCTAATGCTGACACTAACAATAAAACCCACACTCCAATACACAGAACTGAAATTCCAAGTCTATCACTCACCCCAACCCTAAACTTACCATGACACCTAACCCAGGTACTTACATTCCTAAACCTACCTTAACTCTAATCCTAAAATTAACACTAATACTTACCATGAAACCATACTTCAGTACATAGGAAGTGAAATTCAGATGCTATACCTAACCCTAAACCAAAGCCTAACTCTAACCTCAACCCAAACAGTACCCATTATTTGTGTACTGTAATGCTCAGGTAGTTGAAATCTAACACTATTCCTCAGCCTCATGAGCATACTTTCCATGATTTTGGCACTCACACTGTAATGATACTGTACTTGAAATGCATCCATGTTCCTAATGCCAATACTAAAGCTAACCCAAACCCTAACACGTACCAAACCCTAACCCTAACACTATCCTTAAATGCTAACTCTAATCCTACGTATAACTCAGAAGTTCTCACTTTAACTGAAACAATACACCTAAAAAAACCACTTGGCCTAACAATGACTCTGAAGCCTTAACCCTAACCATAACCCAACCCAAACACAAAGGCTAACCCTAACCCAGGTACCTGCATTCTGACACCATACCTAAGCCTAATCCTAAAATTAACACTAACTGTCAAATTCACACTGCAATATTCAGTGAAATTCCTACACAATTGTCATCCCTAAGCCTAATCCAAGCCCTAATGCTAATCTTAACAGTACCCATCATAGCTACACTGCAATGCTCAGGTACTTGGAATTCAACAATATTCCTCACCCTCAGAAAAATTCTTATCCTAAACATCATACTCACACTCAAACTATGAGGTACTTCAATTCCATCCATATCTCTATCCCCAAACCTAACTCTAACCCTAAACCAAACCATTAATATCTTGGTCCAACACTGAGGTGCTTGAAATACTGCACCATTCCTAAACCTAAAGCCAAGTCTAATAATAAGACTATGAAATCCACGCTGCAATATACAGCTTGTTAAATTCCAGGACTATGACTTACCCTTACCTTAACCCTAATCCTAAACTTACCCATAACCCTAACCTAGGTACCTGCAATCCCCTACCATTCCTCACCCTAATCCTACAGTTAACGTTAACACTAATCTTTAAACCCACACTCCAGTACACTGGTAGTGAAATTCCAACACTATTCCTAACCCTATGCCTAAGCCTAACCCTAAAATGAACCATAAAGCAAACACTACCCATCATAGCTGCATTGCAATGCTCAGGTACTTGGAATCCCACACTATACCTCACCCTCATAAAAATCCTTGCCCTAACCTTCATTCTCACAATCAAATTATCAGGTGATTAAATTTCGTCCATATCCCTGTCACCAAAGCTAACCCTAACTCTAACCCTAAGCATTATTCCCAAGTTCCAATACAGCAGTATTTGAAATCCTACACTTTTCCTAACCCTAAAGCCAAATCTAATGCTGATACTATGAAACCCACACTCCAATATACAGGTACTGAAATGATTATAAGTGAAAAAGTAGGAATGGATTATTATGAACTATATATACACACACAAAACATAACTCAATTTTTAATTTTTGTTAATCAATGCTTTTTTTTTTGTACCAGGGACTGAACTAGGGAACTTGTGCTTGTGAAGCAGGTAGTGGAACCACTGAGCTAAATCCCCAGCCCAATCAATGCTTTAAATAAAGACATATTGTTTTGGTTTTGGTTTTTGAGTTTGTAAATTTATGAATGATTTTATTTTTTCTTACTTTTCTATTTTTTAAAAATGTACCTCTGTAGGAAGCTCCTTTAGGTTAATACAAATGCACACACACACACACAAACACACACATCACATCACAGAATAATTAGTATCTTTGGGAATATCTCACTTACCTGAGGGAATGAGCAAAATTTTTGTAATGTTTATATCAACTAGATGAATAGAGGAAAAGTGCAAAATAAGATGGATGGAACAAGAATACTGAGTGAAAGAAAGAGACCTTTAACTTCTCATGCTGGCCTACTGTTATGAGTTCTTGGAGACTTCTGGAAGGGGTCCATCAGAGGTGATCTTGGACCCCAGCTGTGCAGGGATCGTCCTGGACACTGCAGTGCAGTTTCTTCTGGGCTCACAGAGCCTGGAGCCTCCTTTCTGGGTGGGGCAAATGGTAGCAATGGCCAGATAAACCGGCACTTGTGACCCACTGTCATAACTGCTACCACAATGGGTGTACTAAACTGGGTGTGGGGGTGTATTCCTGTAATCCTAGCACTTGGAGTCTGTGGCAGGAGAATGGCCATGAGTTAAAGGCCAGCCTGAAATACACAGCAGCAGGACCTGTCTCAAAGCAAGCAAGCAAACAAACCCATACTGGCGGTGTACAAAAGGCTACTGGAGAACACTCATACCAAGCTTGTTGTTGTATCAGGGAAGACTACCTAGAGGCCAGGATGTCTAAGCAGGGTTCTGAAGGAGGAATAGGGGGAGAGGAATTTACAGGTACAGAAGTAGCAACAGGTAAATGGTCCAGAAAGAGGAGACAGCATGGATCCTTAGAGGAACCTGAAGTAGAGTGGGCAGCAAAGGGAAGGCCAGGGATGCTCTGATTATCTGTACCACTCAGTACCTCATACCTGGCAGGTGCTCAATGTGCCCTGGTTTCAGGAGAAAAGTATACTTTGTAGCATCAGTGACAACCATGGCAGCTTGCTGTGCCAGCACTTTGCATATATTTTCTCATTTACCCATGGAACAAGTGCTATACCTAGGTGGGCATTTCCTCTGTATTCAGGGAAACAAGTTTGGAGAGGTTAGATCACAGCCCCTATGCCTACATACACACAGTTGCTGTGGAGCAGGAATCCAAAGGCCTACATTTTCTTAGGGGAGAGCTTGGGCTGCTTGCCCCACCCTGAATACAATTACCTGGTTTCAGTGGTTATCCAAGGATCACCTTAGAGTTATACCCAGGGTCTGATGGAGATGTCTACATGAAGGAGGTCCCATATGTCCGAAGAATCCACTGACTTGGTTCTTGGTTCAGGAGATGGCCAACTGTATGTTCTTACCTCTGGACGGTGCCAGGTGAATGCTGCAACACAGACCAGGCCACTCCCTGTGCCCTGAGGCCCAACCATCCAACCCCAAGTGCCTCAAGCCCCAGGCTGGCCCCTAGCCTCTGCCCCAAGATCTGGGGCACACTGCACCTGCCTCAGTTTCCTTCCAGTCCCACCTAAACTTCCAGCAAAACCCACAAGCACTTACTGGCTCCTGATACAGAGAGCTTTTATAAATAATCTAAAAACCTACAAAATGTTAGTAAAATGTAAAATGACTTCTGCTGTCTCTAAAAGCAATCTTCTTTGATTAATTCAAAATTAACAGACACCGGAGGCACTGGCCTTGAAATGGGACATCTGGCCTCATCCCTCACCTTGAACACCCTCTTCCTGTGCACTAGGATAGCTACATGAATCTTAAGGTAAACTCCCTAACTACAAGGAATTGTTACATCTGTGTTAAAGTTAACTGTCTTGTTATTGTGATTTGTATATGGGTAATGTTAACTGAGGAAATGAAATGTAACCACCCAAATGAGACCATAGTTGTAAAACCTATAAAAGAAGAAGCTGCAACCCAGTAGAGGGTCAATCACTGGCACTGCTTTTGGTGCGATCAGCCTTTTATCGACAAAATAAACCTTTTATTATTTTACTTCCATTCTGTGTCTCTACGTGCACGTCACTTACCAATTCCTGCTGCAACACTCCCACCTTCTTCCTCCTGCAGACTGTGAGGGATTGTGTTTGCTATGGGTTGGAGTTGAAATGGCCCCCAAAACTGGATTGTTAGCTAATGGCCTTTGGGAATGTGATTGAATTATGAGGGCTGTCAATTCATCCAGTGGACTGATCTATTGATGAGATCTTAATTGGATAGCATTAAATGGCTTTACTAGGAAGTGATGGAAACCAGTGATGGGGCCTGACTGAAGGAGTGGGTCATAGGCTGTGACCTTGGGGGCATGTCTGGCTCTCACTCTCTCTTTGCTCCCTGGTTGCTGTGAAGTGAGCAGCTGTCCTCTGCCACCCCCTGCACTGCTATGTTTCTGTTCCTACATGGGCCAAAGAGCCATGAAGCCAGTTGACCAGGGACTGAAACTGTGACCCATAATAAACCTTTCCTCTCCTAAACTGATTTTCCCAAGAATTTTGTCACAGCCACACAAAGCTAACATGGTGTCTTAATTTCTGCAAGCCCCAGTGCTTCCTGGGAAAATGGAGGTGATAATATCCACCTATAAATATAGAAGGCTCAGCAGGGCACCCAGCACATAAATACTCAATAAAGTAATGAAGTCGCCCAGGGTTACTTTTATGTTATTTATACACACACACACACACACGTGTGTGTGTGTGTGTACTCAATAAAGTAATGAAGTCGCCCAGGGTTACTTTTATGTTATTTATACACACACACACACACGTGTGTGTGTGTGTGTGTGTGTGTGTGTGTATATTACAGTGTCATTGTTATACTCAGTCGAGAGAGATTATAGAGAATTACTAACACTCTGAGCCAAATTTGAGTCCTTTATTGCCAGCAATTCAGAGCACTCAGAATCTCTTGACCCCGAAAAGTGGCTTGTGAGTTTCTTTTAAGTGGCTCTTCTAATTGGGAGGGCTCAGGGAGAGTGGGAGAGTAAGTGGAATTTTACAGAAGCAGAACTTTGCTAAGTTAGTAGGGGTCAGGGGAAGTTTCACACAGTTTAGTTGAAACAAAATATCACACAGGTGCCCTGTTCATAAGAACACATAGACGCAGACTGTTCTACCAAATGGGATGTGGCGGTCTGCTATGCATCAACCAAGGGGACTCCCAAGTGGGGAGGAGGAACAGTGATGAGGCACAAAATGGAGTCAGGTTGGCTATCACATCATGATTCACAGGGAGTGAATGAAAGAATAACCAGGTGAATTCACTTCAGTTAAATCCTGTCTGTGGCCCACGGTGGAAATGAACTTTAATATTCTCTGTCCCATGGACAGGAAATCCCTGCTTGCAGTGTTTTTAATTGTTTGGTTGTTTCTGTTTTAGGAGAACTCCAACAACGTGCAAGCTTCCTCCCAGTACTTGGACAAGATTCATTCATGCAAGGGAGACAGTGAGAGGCTGAGGATGAGTGGCTCCTTTTTTTGCAGAGCTTTTGACTTCTTGGTAGTCTCTTTCTGTCTGTGGACACAAAGAGAAACAGGTTAATGCCCCAGTAGGATCAGGAGAGTGAGAAAGGAATGCCAGGGTTAGGCAAACAGCCAGGAAAACAGTCAGAGTGAAGCAGCTCTGAAGGCTGGGAAAGGACAGGCTCTGTACAAGGTCTCCATGCACTGGGCAGAGAGTTATACAACCAAGGGAGAATTTAGAGGTGAGCTGTGATAACTCTATAGGAGAAAAAAACAAAACAAAACAAAAACGAAGCAAAGAAGCCAGCAAATTAAAATAAATCTTAGGCATCTAGATAGACAGACTTAGTTCCAAGGATAGCAAAAGTTTTATAAGAAAAATAAGCTGGGTATGGTGGCACACGCCTATAATCCCAGCATGCTGGGAGGTTGAGGCAGGAGGATTGCAAGTTTGAATCCAGCCTGGATTAAAAATTAGCTAGATCCTGTCTCAAAACAAAAATTTATTTATTTTTTGGAAACAAAACATTTATTGGTATATTTTAGATATACATAATTATGACATTCATCATAGGGACTTTGTACTTGCACATGATTCATCCTGCTGCTTCTTTCAGAACAAAAATTTTAAAAGGGCTAGGGATGTAGCTTAGTGAGAAGGGTTCAATCCCCAGTACTGGGCGGAGGGGAGATGAAAAGAAAAATAACTATTGTATGCCTCACAGATTCACAATTCAGCTGATAGTGCTGATGATATCATAATGCTGATTAGTGATCTAATCAAAATTGTAGGATAAACTTACTGAGCTTCTGAAAAATCAAGAAGTAGGGAGAGTAGCACAGTACTCAGGTATACAGAGGAGAACAGATAGGAAAGTGTCACTGCTGGGAAATGGCAGTTTTTTAGAACAAGCTTTGTGGAACTATGAATTAGCTAATTTGTGTGTTTACTTTGAAACAGGCTTTGTTCTAAGTGCTTTAGAAATATCTGACCATTTAATCCTTCTTGCAACCTATGCCATACCTACTGTTTTGTTGTTGTTGTTGTCTTTTGGGGGTGCATTGAGACAGGGTCTTGCTTTGCAGTGCAGACTGGCCTCAAACTCATGTCAAACCTCCTGCCTCAGCCTCCTGAGTGCTGGGATTATAGCACCACCATGCCTGATGGCCATACCTACTTTTATCATTTCCATTTTACAAATTAAAATAAAAGGGGGAGGTAGAGAAGTTAGTAACTGTTCAAGGTCAACTGTTCAAGGTAGGTTGTGGTGGGGATGGGCCTGAAACCCAGGTGATCTCACCCCACAACAGCCTCTCTGTTCAGCTCCTAGAGGATGAAATTGTATCACTTTAATTAAAATTAAAATGAAAATTTTAAAAAATCAATGTACTATTTTCAAACTAACTTCAGAAGTCTAGAGAAGCAAAGTTCTAAAATATGCTCTTTTAGTCTTTGCTGCCCTGAGCAGCATGGATCAGGCCAAAAAAAAAATTTTTTTTGTTTTTTTCTACAGGTAGTTAATAGAAATAGAATGCCAAGCACCCATTAGGTAACTGTTAATTTCTTCACCAAGTATTTGCTCAATCCCTCCTATGTGCCAGCTTCGGAAGCAGGCACTAGGAATCCATTGCTGAATAAGACCAGGAATGCATTCAGGAATGCAGCACTCATGGTGCTGAGGGGTACACACATCCGGCCAACAGATACAGTCAGCAGGCAGGGATGGGAAAGCACAGAATACAGGCAGCCCTTTGGGCAGTCTGGGGAGACTTCCTGGAGGAGTCACGAGATGACAAAGTAGCTACAGCCAAGAAGGAGGGAGAGCAAGGAATCCTTGTTAAAATGAACTGGATTGGTTTGGCCTCTTTCTCTACCACTCTCCAATGGATGTCAAAAAGAATAGTACTGGGCCGGGGATTTAGCTCAGTGGTGCTGCCACCTGCCTCGCAAGCGCAATGTCCTGAGTTCAATCCCTAGTACCAAAAAAAAAGCAAATAAAAAGAATAGTTACTTTTAATCTGGGGGGTTCCATAGCCTAAACCAAGCTGGCCGTGAACTCACAGCAAACCTTCTGCCTCTACTGACCTACTGAGTGCAGAGATCACAGGCATGTATCACCACACCCAGCAGTTTCTTAATGCATTTTATGTTTTTGGTTTTAAGACGCTAACTGCTGCAGACGCACTGTATGCTAGTTGATAGTCCTTTCCTTGGGTGCTGGGATATAAAATGGTGCATTTATGGGCTTCTGCATGGTGTTCTGACTTCTGGCTGTCCTGTCTGTGTTGGTGGGAGAATCATGCACTACACTGGGATTCTGTCCCGAGTGCATTAGCATTTGACCTTTTACCTGCAGCATTTAATTAATTTATTGATTTATCTGCCTTCCCACTGCCAGCCCTTTGAGAACGGGGACTGTTTACTACAGGGAACTTTTTCTTTTTTCAATACTGGGGGTTGAGTCCAGGCCCTTTTCACTGACCTATATCCCCAGCTCGTTTTTATTTTTTATTTTGAGACAAGGTCTTGTTAACTCATTAAGTTGCCCAGGCTGGACTTGAATTTGCAATCCTCCTGCTGCAGCCTCCCAGAGTGCTGGGATCGCAGGCATGTGCCACCACCCAAGGGAACTTCTGAAACTCTCTAAACCTGAGCTTGCACTGTCTGAAACGCTGTGGACAACCCCGACCACATGGGAGGTTAACCTTCCCACGAGGTACATCAGCAACGTGCTTAGCTAAATGCTCAGCGCAGAGTTCACTGTTGGCAAATGGAGCCACTGTGATCACTATAAGGGAAGACTGTTATGTAAAGTATTTTAAATAAGGAGTGACAGTAAACGCATGAACAAAGGCAGTGACCCAAGCACAAGACTCCGAAACTCAGCATCTGTCCACTGGAGCCCCTCCTGACACCGGGAGCGTCCTCCTTTCTGTTCTTTCGAACAGGCCACACCCCCAGTCCATTCCCCACCGCTTGCCCTTCTGTTGTACATCTTTCTGCGCCATCTCAGAACAAGAACCCAGACAGGAGACAGCTGGTTACAGAAGGGGAGTTAGTCTGAAGGAAGAGTAGTGATGTTGGTGAATTGGACTGATTGGTTTCTAGATGCTTCTGAGAATCTAAGATGGATGTTGGAAAGACTGTTACTCATGATTCTCTCCTCGGCCTATAAGATTCCATGGCCCTAGCTAAACTACTGTAATAAATATATATATATATTGTGAGTTGGACATGATGGTACAGGCTTGTAATCTAAGCACCCTGGAAGGCTGAAGCAGGAGAATCCCCAGCCTAGGCAACTTAGTGACTTAGCAAGATCCTACCTCAAAAAAAAAAAAATAAATAAATAAATTAAACCAGGTGGGGGTCCAC